ACCATTAAAACCCAACCCAGTGCAACTGGGAAGCTCTGCCGATTCTTCTTGAAGGAGGTGACCTCTTCGAAAGACTGGTGGCTGAATTTCGTCTCCATGGTCGGGTGGCTCTGGCGTGACATGCTCTTCTGCCCCTCGAATGCCCCGTCTTTGCTGCCGCTTGTAGTACCAGTTGGGCATGGCCAGCACCCGAAGGAGATCACCTGTCACGCTCCACGCTGGTGTTGCTCTCCAGGACGGTAACTTTTTTATTGCTCGTCGTAGTTTTTTCAACATCTTGCAACGCGTCCACGTGTGCTGTCATGTAGTCTGTGGGTTCGTCTTCGTCGTCATTCGGGTTGACCCACTCTAAAAACGACTGTATCTGGTGCGGGTCTATTTCCGATGAGAATGGTCGTCTCCAAAATCCAGTGGCAACATCGGGCGACTGGCATCTGTGTAGAACACGTGCGCTAGCTCCTGCTCGAGTGCCTGTTTTTTTTTTTGAAACTGACTGATCCATTCCAATGCCGATGCTCTTGTGGTTGGTACCCTTGCATACATTCGGCCACGTGGACCTCGACAATTGCCTGCAATGAGACGTGATATCCGATGTGCATCATAGAACTTGCGCTCTTTCCATGCCTCCCATAACGCCTCCACCCTATTTTCAAGTAGCTGATCCTGCATAAGTTTCTTCTTCTGCTTGAGCTGCTTGCTGATGCGCACTATGTCCAGTGAGATGCTGTCGTGGCGGGCCTCGTCCTCTTTAGCCTGTCTGCGCTGCGCCAAGAGCGCTGCTACCTCACGCGGCAGTGAAAAGTTCTGCTCCTTCTTCTCGGTGTAGCCAGGCGCCGAGGTCAACATCTCGTTGGCTGCATCACTGGTACATTCCATCATGCCCGCATTGATCTGATCTACGTTGCCCTCGTACTCCCATTGCTCGAACTGATTACGATGCTGAGATAAACTGTGCTCAACCTTCTCTATGAAAGCTTCTCTTATGTACCCATACAACAGCATGGCGTTGCAGGCCTCCGCGTTGGGTTTGCGCCCCTTCTGTGAGTTCTGTTGTTGCACGAAGGTGTGGAAGAAGGAGACCTGCAATGGGAAGTGGTCCTTGGCCGATGCGCACCTGATGTGTTGCAGTCTCTGCCCTTTCCGCCATGATACCATGCATTCTTGCACGTTGTCCAACGTGGCTCTTGGTAGAATTATGTAGTTGATTCTCTTCCTGCAGTCATCTGCGATGCCAAAATACGTAACTCCAGCTTGAAAGAAAGTGTTAATTCATAGTAGATCGTGCGCTTTGAGAACTGGTTTGATGATACCATAATTCATGCCATCTTTGTCTGGTTCTGCTGCTCCAGCGACTGGTTGTTCTGTCAGATCCGTCGCACACGTGGAATTTAAGTCCGTGCCTATGACGGGGATGCATCGCGATGGCAGCTTGCACAACTGTCCATGAAACCATTCTGTCAACTCATGCGATAACTGACGTTGAGTGGCGGCAGCTCCTCGACCTTTTCCCCTCGTAGGGTAGTAAAGAGAGAACGCTGCGAAGTCCTGTCTCCCCCTCCTATATCTGATCATGAGCCCTCGCCCCTGAAGCCGTCCTCCCGCTGCCTGCACTCTAATTACATACTGCGGCTGGTAACGTTTGATGCTCACGCCAATGGATACACCACAAGACGAATTGGCACCCTTCGAATATCCAGCATGGAAAAATGATGGTGCAACGTCGTACTTCTCGACGGTGCACCTCGATCCCTCAGGCCCGTACCTTGAAGGCAGACTATGTCGGCCTGTCTGTACTCGTCGCTGATGTCGTTCAGGCGGCCTGGCGGCGCGGCAGTGAGGGGGTTGTAGCTGATGACCCGAAGAAGTCGCCAACCGCCGCCGCCCCCTTCTCCTGGCCCTGCCATCTTGCCTGCATGAGACTGGATGGAGGGGTCGGCTGAGTGTGGGAGGAGATCAGCTGCCTGGAGTCGCTCGATGGAAAGGGGCAGCTGGAGGAGGAGGAGGAGGAGGAGGAGGAGGAGGAGGAGGAGGAGAGGACACCACAGCAAGAGAGAAGCTTCCTCCAGGGTGACGCCGGGCGAAGGACGAGGAGGACGGACGCCCGCACATGCGCGCCGTGGCGCGGCCCCTCGCGGAGCGGAGCGGCGGCGCCGTGGCGCCAGGAACGGGTCCCTGAAGCCAGGGGAGGAGAAGACTGCAGCAGTGCAGCGGGGGCGTGGGAGAGAAAAGGGGCCAAGACCTTCCCCAAAACCTGCCCAGATCCCCCTGCCTCCCCACTCCCCCCCCCCCCCCCAAAAAAAAAAAAAAAACTTTCCAAAACCACGCCAAAACCATCCAGAACCTCCACACACCCCCCGAAACCTCCTCACCCCCCCCAAACTCTCCTAAACCACCCCAGCACCCCCGAAAACACCCCTAAGCCACCCCAAAACCCAGCCGAAAAAACACCCCAACCCTCCCCACCCCCCAGGAAGAAACAGCACGACGGGAAGCAGACGGGGAGCAGACGCCAGACACGAAGAGTAGGGAGGCAGGGGGGAGCAACGGCACGCGGCTGGGAAGGGGAGGGGGGGGGGCTGGGGAGGTCCTCGTGCAACTCCTTCCAACCACGATTGTGCCTGACCTGCTGGCGGGGCCTCGCGGAAAAGGCGTTCCTCGTGAACGACCGGGGTCGGTTTTCACGGACGGGTCGACCTGGCCCGTCGGAAAGCCGTGATCGTTCAATAGCGCCTCGCTCCTCGCTCCTCGATCCTCGTTCCTCGCAACTCCTCCTCCTCCTCCTCCTCCTCCTCCTCCTCCTCCTCCTCCTCCTCCTGCTCCCTGCTGAGATCACCCGCCACCGTGCCTCTGGGCACGGAGTGGGCGTGCTCTCGGGCCCTTGGCCCCGCCCTCGGAGCCTCAGTCCCCACTCCTGAGGAGCTCATTTCCTCCTCCTCCTCCTCCTCCTCCTCCTCCTCTCCTCCTCCTCCTCCGCCTCCTCCTGCTCCTCCCCCTCCTCCTCCTCCTCCTCCTCCTCCTCCTCCTCCTCTCCTCCTCCTCCTCCTCCTCCTCCTCCTCCTCCTCCTCCTCCTCCTCCTCCTCCTCCTCCTCCTCCTCCTCCTCCTTTTCCTCCTCCTCCTCCTCCTCCTCCTCCTCCTCCTTCTCCTCCCCTTTTCTGAGCGGCGCTGGGGCCCCCCACCAGCGCCTCCGGCGCCGCCAGGGAGGGGGGTCCAGCGCCGATCCGAGAAATCCGCGCGGACCTCCGAGTTTTTAGCTTATGCCACTTTTCTTCCCCCCTATGGACAGGACACACGAGAGGACGCAAGACCCCTCCGAAGGCCACATCGCCAAAGGAGTGTAAGAATGCACGTGTCGCGAGGCACAGGACACAAGGGTACCCTTGAGCTGGCAGGGTCGACCTACTCATCCGGGCCGGCTGTACTCGCGGAATCGGTGGGACGACATACTTGCGGCGTCCAAGACCTGGACAGCGGGGCGCCAGGCCTTCGGAAACCCTGTCGAATGGCCTCTCGAAGCTCTCTTGGGAAGAGCCTCGGAAGCAGCTTCTGGAGAGCTGGACGGCACACGTACTGAAAAACAGTAAGACAGTGCCTGCAGGAACACGCTGCAAGTACAGGCATGTCGCTGCCGGGATTCTGAAGCAACGCTGGAACGAGCTCTGGGGCTGCCCTTGCGTGCCGGCTTCTAATATGAAGCCCTCTTAGCTCTCAAAGCTATCGGGGAAAAGAGCCTTCACGCGTGACACATCCAATTACCTCTGCCCAAGTGGTCACGGCATAAACGACAGATGATGCACTATGCATCCATGCACTAGTGGCGCCGACCTCCTACTCCTCAGAATCCTAAGCTCAGCGATGCAACACTGGTTTGGGGAGTCGGAGATCGGCGTCGGGGTCCTGGAAACTTCGGCGTTACCACGCTGACCCACCCTCTTTCTATTGATTTTCATCCCTCTCCACCTGGCGGGGCGGCGAGAAGGGCGGCCTTGTGAGACGGCAGGTACTTCTTCACGAAAGGCTCCCAGGTTTCCAGGATGGCTTCCCAGAAGCCGGCAGGGCTTCTGAGAGTCCCCCGCCCTCTTGAAAGGTCCAGCCCTTCGCGCCAGTAGCCCCGGCGCGCCGCACCCAGAGGTGACCCTGGACCACGGCCTTTCTCCAAGGGCGGCCAGATGGGCGCCGAAGAGAAGCGGGTCTCACGCGAGATGGCATAGCGACCTTTCGGGGATGGACAGACCCCCCTTTAGCAAAACGTGGTGTAGTGAAAACGACCTGAGGCCCAAACCTGGCGGGCGCAAGCCTAGAAAATGACGGCCGCGGCGCCCTCGCGAGAACCGAAAACGGACAATTCACCAATCGACGTGTCACTGTTGGGGGCTCCGTTCACCCCCGAACCCTACGCGGCGGCTTACGCGGGCCGCCAGCGCGGCGCGCTACCCTGGAGACGCGGGCGCCTACGCGCGAACCTACGCGGGCCGCTCGCGCGCCCAGGCCGGCGAGGACGGCCCCGCTGCTCTGCGCCCCTCGGGTGGCCTCCGGAAGCCCTCCCCACGAGACTCCGACGGCTCGACCCCGCCCGCCTGCTGGACTGGACCAGAGGACAGGCGACACCATCCCACCCTGGACTGGACCAGAGGACACGCGCGAACCTACGCGGGCAGCTCGCGCGCCGAGGTCGGCGAAGCCGGCCCCGTTGTTCTGCGCCTCTCGGCTGGCCTCCGGAGGACTCCCCACGAGACCCGACGGCTCGACCCTGCCCACCTGCTGGACCAGAGGACAGGCGACACCATCCCACCCTCGGCCCCACGGGGCTCAGCGCACACCAGCACCTCTGGCGTGGGCTTCTGCGCGGCGTTACGCCGCGGCCCCCGAGGGGCCCCAGCGCAGCAGGAAGGGCCGCAGGTGGGGTGCTGCCGTCTGCCGTGCTGGTCGACCTGCAGCACTCCCGCGCGCCTGCTGCCCGCGCCACCGCTGCGAACCCGGCGGGTGCTGCCCGCGCGCCGCTCACCGGCACGCCACGACGCCGCAGCAGCGCCGCGCGGTCCGCAGCCGCCCCGCCGGGCTCCAGGCGCCCAGCTTGGGGTCGAAGCGGGTCACCACGCTCACGTTCACCTCGGCGTCGGCGTCGCCGGGGCCGCGGGCGGAGCCGCCGACCACGTACAGCGAGCCGCCGCAGCCCGCGGCCCCGAGGCCCCACCGCGGCGCGGCCATCGCGGCGAGCGTCTCCCAGACCCCGCAGGCGGGGTCCAGCCGCTCCAGCGACCGCAGCCCGCGCTCCTGCCGGCCATAACCCCCGACCACGTAGAGGGCGCCCGCCAGCGCCGCCATGGCGAAGGCGGCGCGCGGGCATCGCAGCGGGTGCAGCCGCTCCTAGGGGAACGAACAATGACATAGACATTATCCCGGCAAAGCAACCTAACAGCGATGTGTAGAAGCATGAAAGCATCCCCTTGATTCAATGCATTCCCCTAGTAAGATTCAGAGCCTCAGCCTCAAGCCTCAGCCTCAGCCTGCCTCAGCCTTGCCTCAGCCTCATCATCAGCCTCAGCCTCAGCTGCCTTCTCAGCCTCAGCCTCAGCCTCAGCCTCAGCCTCATCAGCCTCAGCCTCAGCCTCAGCCTCAGCCTCAGCCTGCCTCAGCCTCAGCCTCAGCCAGCCTCAGCCTCAGCCTCAGCCTCAGCCTCAGCCTCAGTCAGCCTCAGCCTGCCTCAGCCTCAGCCTGCCTCAGCCTCAGCCTGCCTCAGCCTCAGCCTACAGCACTGGCCTCAGCCTCAGCCTTCCAGCCGAAGAGCAGAAGTGGCCTACAGTTGGCTCCGGGCATCCAAAATGTGGCCCGGGAATGGAGTTCTGGGAAGTCGAAGAGCACGAAGTGGCCTACAGTTGGCTCTGGGCATTCAGAATGTGGCCCGGGAATGGAGTTCTGGGAGGTCGAAGAGCACGAAGTGTGTGACTGTTTGCGAAAAACGAGTGCGGCGGCAGCCGCACCGGGTCCCGCCCCGGGTCCCGCCCCGACCCCCCTGAGGAGTCATGATGCTCTCTTTTGACCCCACTAGAAACCTATCAGTCTTCGCTGTTAGGTAATAAAATCTCGGAGGTCCGCGCGGATTTCTCGGATCGGCGCTTGACCCCCCTCCCTGGCGCGCGGAGCGCGCAAAGGGCGGCGCCTCCGGGGGGTCCAGCGCGGATCCGAGAAATCCGCGCGGACCTCCGAGTCTTTCTGTTTATGTCATTGTTCATCTCCCTAGTTCGGGGGGGCCAAGAGGGGGTGTCCAAGAGGGGGGGGGGGGGGGGGGCGCAGATCATGGCCGGCGGCATGTGCGCGGCTTATAGTGGGGGGCCAGGGACGTAACTCGAGAAGAAGAGGCGCCATGAGATCGGAGGAAAGATCCTGGCCTCTGCCATGACTGAAGCATCAGCTTGAACACTCGAACATCGGTTTTCATTCGAGGTCGGTTCCGCCAAGTGTCTTGATAGTAATTCTGCAGCTGCGGACCTAAGAATTTGACAGACAGACGCGGCACAACCCACTACAGGTGCGTAAAACATATCCGTCCTCAAAACGCACTTTCAAATTCCTCCCCCCCCCCTGGTCATCACCCCCTCCTGGCCGCCCCCGACGGCTCCCAGCCCGAGGCCCCCGGCGCCAGGCGCTCCACGTCGCCCAGCACCGAGCCGTCGGCGTGGTGCCCGCCGGCCAGGTACACGCACCCGCGCAGGGCCGCGGCCGCCGCGGCCCAGCGCGGGCACCGCAGCGCGGGCAGCGGGGCCCAGGCCGCCACCTCGCGGGGGAGTCCACGGGCTGGGCCCCCGAGGGACTGGGACGGGGGGCCCTGTATAGGACCTAGGCAGGAGGAGGAGGAGGAGGAGGAGGAGGAGGAGGAGGAGGAGGAGGAGGAGGAGGAGGAGCTCTTCGCGAGCTCTTCGGTCGGTGACTTCGTCACTCCCCCGCTTGGTCCGCCTACGGCGCGCGGCGGGCGGCGGCGGGGTGGGCTCAGCGCCCGCTGGCACCTCCTCGCCGCCACCAGCGGACCCTTCGGGTCGCGGTGTCGGCCCCTGGGGGCTCCGCGCTGGCGGGGGAGGAGGAGGAGGAGGAGGAGGAGGAGGAGGAGGAGGAGGAGGAGGAGGAGGAGGAGGACCAGAGGAAGCCAAAGATGCGCCCCTGGAGGGCGAGGGGGCGGCCTCGGACAGTGGAGGTGCAGCTTGTGCTCCACCTCCTGCCCGCTCGGGGCACCATCCCTCAAGGCCTGATCTGGGAAAACCGCCGCCACCTCGCTCGCGAAGCCGCCGTGCGAGCTGACGTCCATCTGCTCGGCGACGTCGAGCGTTATGGCGTCGTCCGCCTCGCCGCCGAGCACGCAGAGGCGGCCCGACACGCCGGCGGCGGCGACCCAGCCCCGCGCCCGGCGCAGGTGAGGCAGCTCGCCCCAGACGTTGAGTCGAGGGTCGTAGCTCTCCACCTCGCCGTGGAAGAGAGGGGGGGGCCCTGAGAGAAACGGGCCCACCCTGGGGCTCCTCTCTCCTGAGATTGCGGTTTCGCCCAGAGCCCGTCCAGGCGCACCGAGAGGCCGACCACGACCGACCAGAAACCCCTTGATCCCTTGCCCTCAGAACCTCGTTTTCCCCAAACAGCTTGCTGAACGGGGTGCTGTTTTGACAAAAACAAATTCGGGTCAAGGGACGCGCGAGCAGAAACATCCTCGAAACACTTTGGTGTTCCGGGCCGTTTCGCCTGAGACATCCTCACAACTCTCGTTTCTGAGTTGGCCGGGATCGGGTGTTTCGCCTAAGACGTCCGCCAAAACTGAAAGCTCCGAGACGCCGCGCGCGAGGTGGTCCTGCGCATTTCGCCGGATACATCCTCGCGTATCTGGGCTCCGAGCTGCCGTGCGAGAGGTGGTCTGGGCCTTTTCGCCTGAGACATCTTCGCGACTCTGGGCTCCGAGCTGCCGAGCGCGGGGTGAGCCAGCGCGATTCGCTTGAGGCATCCTCGCAACTCTTCGCTCCGATATGCCAATCGCAAAATGGTCTGGCGCATTTCGCATGAAACGTTCTCTCAATTCTGAGATTCGATCTGCTACGCGAGGTGTGGTCTGGCCTGTTTCGCATGAGACATCCTCGCAACTCTGAGTGCTGAGCTGCCGCGCGAGAAGTGGTCTGTCGCGTTTCGCCCGCGGCATCCTCGCAACTCCCCAGGATTCAAGGCCCGTCCAAAAATGATCCTTCGACCCTTCCTGGGGTCCAGCCTGGCAAGTTTTTCGAACTGCGCCCAGCCGTGCCGAAGAGAGCCTGCCAACAGAAACTCTGAAACGACGACGACGTAGTCGTCGGAGCCGTCGTCCTGGTCGTATTCCCCAGCCTGGGGGACAACGATGAGGAGGGGCCAGGCTCCGGAAGGGAACCATCGACCTGGTATCGGAGATGTACCACCGCAGCGAATCCGCCCGTTCCTGAGGGTGGAGCTGTTAGGCCGCTATCGGCGCTGAGTGGGCGATTGGGGCTCGATGCGGCCATTGACAGCCGCGGTGCTCAGCGGTCACTAGAGGCCTCCTAGATGGAATGAGTAGACGGGGGCGGAGGACCGCGCCGCATCGCCGATGCGTCGGCGATGCAGCGGCGATTCCTCGACGACATCGGGAAGAAGGAAGCCTGGCTCCACATCGAGCCGCATCGCCGATGCATCGGCGATGCGGCGCCACCCTCCGATCCCTTCCACTCCGACCCCGTCCAGGAGGCCTGGAGCCACCGAGCTCAGCGCGGCGCCGTCGGCGCCTCGGCCGGCGGCCACGTAGACCTTGCCAGCGAGGGGCACCGCGGCGCACACCGCACGTGGGGCGGCCAGAGACGCCACGGTCTCCTCGCCGGCGTCGACGGCATCCGTCGCCGTCAGCGACGCCGCCGCCGCCACCGTCGTCGCCGTCATCGTCGCCCCTTCGCCGTCGCCGTCGCCGCCGCCATCGGCACCGCAGCAGCCGCCGTTGACGCCACCGCGTCGTCGTATTTGTCGCCGCTGATCCTCGTCGAGGTCGTGATCGTCGTCGTTGTCGTCGTCGTCGTCGTCGTCGCCGCCGCCGCCGCCGTCGTCGTCGTCGCCGTCATCGCTGCCGCCGCCTCCGCCACAGTTGACGCCACCGCGTCGTCGTCGTAGTTTATCGTAGTTCGTCGTCGTCGTCCTCGTCGTGTGCGTCGGCATCCGTCGCCGTCGTCGTCGGCGGCGGCGTCGCGGTCGCCGCGGTCTCCGTGGAGGCGTCCGCGCCGAGACCGATGCGCTCCGCGGAGGAGAGCAGGCCCCCGCCGCAGCGGACGCCGCCCACCGAGTACAGGGCCGCCGGGAACATGTCCCAGAGCTCGCTCGCAACGGCGCCCACGCTGGGAGCCGATCTTTTACCAGCCTGGAACATATCCCTATCCCTGTGCTGGGCATCGCCTCATCACAGTGCCAGTCTCAGGGACTCCCTTACTTTTTGAGGGCGCATCCCCAAGGTTCTCGTCGCCCTCTGGCGTGCCACTCTTAGGGATAGGGAGTTGTTCGAGGCTGGTAAATCTTCTCGAGAAGAGAACGCCGTGAGACTCGGCCTTGCGTCATGCTCGTGCTGGGCCCTGTCGCCCCGCTGCGGACTCCCCCGGGGGCCGTCGCGGCTCGACCTGGCTCGGGGGAGTGCCGCGGGGAGACGGGTCGATGCTCCACGCCGTTGCCAGATGCTCGCAGCGTCGGGCCTCAGGGCAGGGCCCCGAGGTCCGCTCGACGCTTCGACTGTCTGGGGGATGCTCCCCTGCTTCTCCTTACGCTGTGCATGCGCTTCGCCCCTCGAGTCTTCGGGCCCCGGCCGAAGACATGTCAAGATGGAGGTGCCCCTCCATTTTCGGCCTCCGCAGGCCAGTTTCGGGGCCGTGACCGTCGGAAAGCTATCAAGGACGACGACTGCAACGGCCACGACGGGAGCGACGACCATGTCGACGGCGACGACGACCTCCGGGGGGCCTTCGGAGACCCAGAAGTCTCTGGAGTCCCCGATGGTCCCCCGAGGCCCAGGAATGGTCCCCCGAGCCCCGGCACGTCTAAAAGCATGTTGAACAAGCTACGGCGACGTCGACGACAGTGACCATGGCCACGACGCAAACGCCGACGTCGACAACACCGACGACGCCGACGACGACGACGCCGACGACGACGACGGCGACGACGCCGACGGCGACGACGCCGACGGCCACGACATCCGCGACGGCGACCACGACGCCGACGACCACGACAGCCACGACGCCGATGGCAATAGCGCCAGCGATGCCGACGACCGGGCCGGTAACGACGACGGCGGCGCCGCCGACGGCGCGGACCAGGGCGCGCCTCTGCTCCGCGGCGCGCGAGGCGGCGCACAAGGGCCGCACGCAGCCGGGGCCCGCCAGCGCGGCGGCGACGAGGGCGAGCTCGCGCGTGCGGCAGAGGGCCTCGCCGCCAACCGCCGCTGCGGCAGATGGGCGCGCCGACGAAGACGACGACGAAGACGACGACGACGACGACGACGACGACGACGACGACGACGACGACGACGACGACGACGACGACGACGGTGTTGACAACGACCTTCACGACGGCGGCGACAACCACAACGACGACCACCACGACGCCCTGGACGACGCCGCAGGCGTCGCCGACGCCGCCGCGGCTGCCGCCCGCCGACGTCGCCGACGCCACCACCATGGCGGCGACGACTGAGGCCTCGCCGCACGCTGAGCCTAGCCCCCAGCCTTCGAGAAGAAGGGGGGGCTGCTTGGGGCGGCCTGCAGCGGGAGCCCCGAAAGCCGACGTCGCGGGAAAAGGCAGCATCGTGGGAGATCACGGGGGGCCCTCAGGCCCGATGTCGCAAAACAGATGCAGCATCGCTGGGAATCACGTCCAGCTTTAGGTCGGGCGTGTCCCCTACAGGCGGATGTTGGACTGAAAATAAAAGATATCTCAAACATGTCAACACATATCCGAAAATGATCCAAACGTCGCCCCCAGAGTATTTTTTAATATTATCTTTGGATCTTCCCCCTGTGGAGGGACACGCCCGACTTAAGTCCAGCTCCCTGGGCCCTATCTTGTCGCTGCACTTCTCTGGAGTCGGGTGGACCCCCGAGGTCTGAAAGGGGCCCCGGCGCTGGGCGAGCCCTGGCGCGAAGAAGCTGCGACGCTCGCTTTCTGGGGAACTAGTTTCAGGTCGGGCCTGTCCCTCTACAGGGGGGACTATTCAAACCTAGTTTCGACAAATAATGCGGGGACGATTTGTTGACAATGTTTGAACACGTTTGGTGCATTTTTCGGGGTCTGTCTTATTTATCATACAAAATCCGCCTGTAGGGGGGACGCGCCCGGCCTAAAATTTGGGGCCTCTCTCGGGTCCCCCGCGGCCTCCAGGCAGGGCTCTAGGTGACCTCCATGGACGCGTCCAGGGCTCAGCGACCAAGGGGGGCGGAAGCAAGACTCACCATCGCCGCCGCCGTCGCCTCTGCGCCGACCACCGCTCTCGGCTCGGCCAGCGGCCCGGCAGCCACAGTGGCTCCGACCAGAGAGCCGCGAGGAGGAGGAGGAGGATGGACGAGGAGGAGGAGGAGGAGGAGGAGGAGGGGGAGGAGGAGGGGAGAAAGAGGGAGCAGGGAGGAGGAGGAGGAGGAGGAGGAGGAGGAGGAGGAGGAGGAGGAGGGAAGGGAGCGAGGGCGGAGGGAGGGGGGAAGGAGCAGGGTAGGGGGGATGGAGCAGCGAGTGCAGGAACGTGGGCCACGGGGGTCGTCGGTGCCATGGGCGTTGGCACCGCCCGGCGGCCGCGGTGTCCTTCCATTCCCTCTTTCCTACATGCACGTGCTTATTATTCTTCTTCTTCTTCTTTTATGGTTGATTGATGCTATTCTCTTGCAACTGTATCTACAATTCCGACGGTTTTTCCCTGGGCACGGCACGGCACCCGTGAACAAACCCAGCTGCTCCTCGCCCCCCAACCACGACACTGCGCCCCCCATGCCCTCCCACAGCCAGCCCAGCTGCTGAGCTCCTCGTGGCCCCCCCACAGCCAGTGCGCCCCCATCGCCAGTGGACAATCGTATTCCAGCACGGCATGGAACCAGCACCGGCGCGGCGCGGCACGCCTCCTGCACCGCGCCCCCCCCCCCCCCCCCCCCCTCACCCGCCCCGCAGCTAGCCCCCTCCCCCTGCAGCCAGCCCAACTCCTCTTCCTCCTCGCCTCGCCCCCTGCAACCAGCCCAACTCCGCATTACCGTCCAACTACCCAGCTCACCCGATCCTCATATGTCCTTGAGATTCGCATTGGTCCTCATCTTAAAGATGCGGATCCTTCAAATCCACATCTTTAAACATGCGGTCCCCATCTTTAGCGCTGGTGGTTAACCATGCAAAGAATCGAGCCACAAAATACGAGGAGGAGGAGAGGGAGGAGAAGGAGGAAAAAGGAAGGAGGGGGCGGCGGAGGAGGAGGAGGAGGACGAGGAAGCGGAGGAGGAGGAGGAGGAGGAGGAGGAGGAGGAAGAGGGAGAGGAGGGGGAGGAGAAGGAGGAGGAGGAGGAGAGGAGGAGGAGGAGGAGGAGGAAGGAGGAGGAGGAGGAGGAGGAGGAAGAGAGTGGAGGAGGAGGAGGAAAAGGAGGAGGGGAGGGGGAGGAGGACGAGGAGGAGGAGAAAGAGGAGGAGGAGGAGGAGGAGGAGGAGGATGGCAGGCAGCAGCAGCAGCAGGAGGAGCAGAAACTGTGGGTGGTGGTGGAGGGGCCTCCAGATGGATGACGAGGAGCACGAGCATGAGCATGAATTTGTCTGCAGACGCACCTCCAGCCTCAAACCTTAAAGCCTGCATTTGTCGATCAAAGATCGGTGAAGAAACCTACCGTTGCACGCCGACGCAAGATCAACAGCCTTTTCCAATTTCGTCCCCTTCTAAGTAACACCATATATCTCTGGGGTTCCCGATCGCGGGGATTTTGATTTCGCGTCGCACAAGTGGCAAAACAGATGATGTCTTGGCTTGACCTGATACACGTGCCACCCTCGTGTTTGCCACAATCCCTGGCAAAGATCATGACGCGCCATATCTGTATATGATATGACATGGTTTCGGCCGAGGGCCGTAGCCCGCGCCGAACTGCCACAACCCCACTTGTTTAGCTCAGCGTAGGAGTCATGCAACGCCTTGACACATTGAGGGCTTGAAGTCTCGCAGGCATCTTCGGGGGACAGCAACACTGAGTATGAAGCAAAATGCGCTTAGCAGGTGTCTGGTTTCCGCTGCGTTGGTCCTCATCCGTGGAGCTTGCGTGTCCCTCTTGAACATGCCAAGCGTCAAATTGTGGATGGGGACCTGGACATCGTTGTTCCGACTTGCAATCCGAAGCATAGTGTTCATTGTGTTGGGACCGTGCTGGGGCTGCGTTGTCAACCCGCCAACCTTTCGACAAATCTCAAATGCAACGGTTCCTAAGAGCGTCTGGACAATGCCGAGATCCGACATGTGCATTCGATCAAGCGACACACTTGAGAGAACAAACCCTGGTGCGTTCCAGAGAGGGCAAACGTATGCGTTGGCCCCAAAGGGTCTGCGCATGTAGGCTCGGTGGCTCACGAAAGTCTGCCGCCATGCTGCTCCGAGGCTCGCGTCGGTGAACGTGGGAGGGCCATTCTGTGTAGCTCCACATAACCAGCGCACGTTGTGTCCGTCGCCACCTCGCCAAACCCGTAAACGGATCAATTGTTTCAGCCATGACCAGTCGCCTTTTTTTCTCGTGAGAAGACATCCTTGCGCACGCATTTGCTTGCGGGCCTGCTTGGCGCGCCACGCATCCCCAGCCCGCTTCGGATCAGAAAACGCCGCGCCGTCGCGGCGATGAATGGGGTGCGCCCCCGAGAGGCACACCTGATAACACCGCGCAAGCGCGATTATAACTGAATCAAACGTGCGCTTGCCAGCGCGGCAGCAATCGCAGACATGCCGTTTCGCAAATATTGGCATCCAGAAGCGCTTCTTCGGTGCTGCTGGAGCGAGGCCCGACCGCATCAACGCGCACAGGGGGTCGGTCTTACTGAGTGGGTCAGAATATTCCCAAACAGTTGGCGGCGCGAAGTTGGTGCAGTCCTCAATCGACGGAGACAAGCGGCTGCGCCCGGATTGCCTGCCTCTGTAGAGCGGGCTGTCCTGCGGGATGTTTTGCCAGTCTGATGCGGAATCAGCCCGGCAGTCAAACGCCTCATGCGGCAGCAGCATGTGCGCAGTACCAGTGTATTTCGTAGAGGTCTCAGCATCCAATATGTAGATATCGTACTCGTACACAGGTGGCATGGTTGAATACTTGTTCAATTGTCTGACAAGATCTATGTGGGAATGTTGCGCCTGGTTCGTTGTTCTTCTTGACTGCCGTTGCCGCGTTCTGGCGCCAGCGTCCTGGAGTAGTGTTGCTGAGTCGTATCGCAGCGAGTGACGCTCGAAATAAGTTGTTGAAGTGGTCTGGTTTAGCCTGCGCGCTTGGCGCTCCCAGGCCTTGGTGTCGTTGTGGTGCTGGTCTGAAGTCTCCCAGGAGTAGTCTCCATAATTCGGAAGGCGCTGGTCGTCGTAGTTTCGCCCTCTTGAGGCTGTGCTTGATGTGTTCGATGTCCCGGTCGATTATATCTCCCATAAGTGGTTCTCGTCGTAATCTTGTGCCTCTGCGTGGGTTGGTATCGGCTCCAATGTGCCGTCGTCCTGCTCCGTCCCCTCCATTCCGCCCATTCCGCCTGGTAATTTCCAGAACTCCAACCATTCTTCCCGTGTGGGTTGTGCTGTAATAGTAATCCAGTAGTCACGTTTCCGCGGTCCGTATCTGCCTCCTGCTATGAGTCTGGTCAGCCTGCCCACTCTCGCTAAGTCCCTGCAATCCCACGCCTCGTGCAATCCGGTCACTCTGTCGTCCGTCAGCTTCTGGTACTACACCTTGCGCATGGTCGCGCATTCCCTGGTGATCTGTCGCAGTTGGTCATCGATATCGCACAGTCTTCTTTCCGCTGGGTACATCGGTGGAGTCCCAGTAGCAACGCAGTACCTCGGTGAAGACCCAGTAGCAACACAATCCGTAGGTGACGTCCCAGTAGCAGTAACACAAGCCGTTGGTGGGGTCCCAGTGGCAACCCGCGCCCTCGGTGGAGATCAAGTAGAAAGACAAGCCTTCCGTGAAGACCCAGTAGCAACACGCTCCGTGGGTGGAGATCCAGTAGCAACGCAATCCGTAGGTGACGACCAAGTGGCAAAGCAGGCCGTAGACGACAACCCAGTAGCGACACAGTCCGTTGGTGGAGACACAATAGCAACACACGTCCTCTGTGAAGACCCAGTAGCCACACAGGCCGTCGGTGGGGGCTCAGTAACGGAGGTGATCGGCGCCTTGTTGATCTGATATCCCTCTATGGGCCCGATGCGTAGTGCTTCGCCCTCCCGTCTGAGTCGTTCCGTAGTGCTCTGCGTCGTCGAAGTAGTTCCATTCGGCGTGCTCTTAAGTCTGTATCGGCCGGTGTCGGTGGTGGCGTTTGTCCGTATATGGGGAGCGCCGTCTGTGCGATCATATCGCTGATGTCCGCGAACAATTGGTCAATGCCCTTGTTAGCGGGGTAGTACGTCTCGAGTCTAGTCTCCAGCGTTTCCATGAACTCGTTGCGATGTTGTCCGTGTCGGGCCGCTTGAGCTAGTAGATCCTTGTCCCATCTCACTGGCTTCTGCCTCTGGACTTGTTGCCGGCGTATCGTCACTGTGACCGTTGCCTGTACTGGTACGTGGTCGCGGTGGTATATGCTGGGAATCTGCCGTAATCTGGTGCCCATGCGGAGTAAGGGTCCCTGGCTGATGACGCTGCGTGGGAGTTCCTGCGGCATCATGATGAAGTCGATGCAGCTCGCCGTGCCTGTGTGCCAAAGAACGTCGGGCGCCATGGCGAGGTGCTGCTCGTTACCAAGAGCAAGAATTGGTGGCGCTCCGCGTATTGTCGTGCTCGTTGTCCTGCACCTCCTGGTGGTCGTTCTTTAGTGCGGTGCTCGCCCACTGTCGGGCTCGGTGGTGTTAGGCTTCTCGCCGTGATGCCGATCCCGTCATTCAGGTCGCCCGCTGTGAACAGTAAGCTGCCTGGTGGGCGCTGTTGCGCAATGGTATCTATCGATGTGCCAAGTCGCGCCACTGTCGCGTAGTATTGCTTCTTCTCCTCCTCCTTCGTACGCGGCTGGGGTCGGAAGTAGTAGCCTATGATCGTCAGTCGAAGGGTGTGGTACGCAATGTCGTGTGCGACGCCTCGGCCGCAGAGTTCTGGTGGTGGGGCATGCACCGCTAGGATGTCCGCTCCTCGTAATCGTCGTTGACGTGCCAACAGGATGCCCGTGCTGGGGTTGGTGAATAGGCCACTCTGCCACCCTGCATCGATGTACCTTGTGTGCTGTAGTCGCCGTTGTTCTGGTTGTGTTCCTCGTCGGAGTCGTTGGGTGCCTGTCAGGATCACGACGTCAAATGTGTGTGTTTCCTCGAGGATATCCTGGAGGCGATCCTCTCTGGCCGTCAGCGGATTGTAGAGCAGCAGCGCGAGGGTGGTCATCCATCGCAGCGCTAGCATGCGGGCTTCCGCCCAGTCAATCCTGCCTACACATTTCTGTGGAAAGACGGTGTATAAGTGTGTCGTTGCCCTGACAATCTCTTGGGCCCAGATGGCAGCTAAACAGAGTGCGAGCCCCAGGAGGAGCACATTTATTGAGAGAGACGATTGTCGCCCGAGGGGGGACCAACCATATCACTTCATAAATGAGAACCCAACAACAACAACAACATGAATAATAATACGAATGCGAACAACAGCGACAACAACACCAACAACAACACCAACACCAACAACAACATCAACAACAGCACACAACACACAACACACAACACACAACAAAACGACAAACTACAATCAACAAAACAAACGATGCACAACAAACAACAAACAAGCAGACTCCGGCCACGAAATCCCGCTTCACCCAGGCACCTAGGGATGGTGTAAGACCGTTCGCCCCCCCTCGCTCTGACCTCACGATCTACTTCCGACGCCACCACCAACTGGATGGGGCCCTGGGACACCCAAAGAAATACACACAAATAACCGGATTCCTCATATTTCCCCCATCTTTTCTGGGGGCTTGTCTTCCCCCCCACGTCCCATATCTTCCCATACTTTCTGGGGAATCGACGATTCATCTAGTCTGTGTGTGTTTTTTCCCTCCTGGATGGTGGAAGACCGTTCGGCACCCCTCTCGCTCTGATCTCACTACTCCAGATTTCGTAATAAAGGGAGGGGGGTCTCATTTCGGGGGGGGGTCTCTTCCAGGCTATCTTGGAGTGCCTGGGGGGTCTGGGGACGATGTTTTGGAGGGTTCTCCCACGGGGGAGGTCTGAAATGGCTTGTCTTGGAGGGTCCAGACCCCCTTCCTTTTATTACGAAATCTGGAGTACTTCCGACGCCACCGCCAGCGCCATGTCGCGTCCCACTTCGACAGGAGGCCCGCGGAGGCCCGAGCGGGACCCAACAGCACCCAGGCACGCCAGAAGGCAGCGACGACGGCGACGACGACGACGACGACCACGACGCCAACGGACGAGACAGGAGGAGAGAGACGACGGAGGAATACGAACAACAAAAAGGCACGCAAGCCTTTGGAGGTCAAACGATACACCGAACGCGCCCCAAACTCTTGCTCTTGATCCTACATCCGTCGGCCTGACCTAAGGAACGATAAATAAGGAACGAAGCCCCTTTTGTTCCAAGTAATTCTAGAGAGTGCGAAGGAACACCAGGGGGACTCGCCGCCTAAAAGGTAGCGAAACGCACTCAAACCAAAGGAACGACCGAGCCCCTTTTGAGATGTAAGTGCTCCTTATTCAAGCCGGACCCTGTACGTCCGTCGGCCATGGACCGCCGACCGACGACGACGACGGCGACCACCACGGCAGAGGGCGACGGGACCCGCGCAGCGCGCCTCCAGGGAGGCGCCCCGCGCGCCGCGCAGCGGGTGCTGGGCGCGGCGGCCATACTCGTTTCTCCGAGCGGGGGCGGCGGCGGACGACGACGACCAGCTGCACGAAACCCTGGCCCCGAGTGGCCTCCTGCGTGCGCGGCCTGCCGACCACTGCGTGCGGCGCGACGGCCGCGATCTGCGTGACAGAGCTTGGCCCACCCCGCGCCCCCCGGACACCACGCATCCAGGGTCCTCCTCCTCCTCCTCCTCCTCCTTGTCCTCCTCGTCCTCCTCCTCCTCCTCCTCGTCGTCCTCATCCTCCTCCTCCTCCTCCTCCTCTTCCTGGCCCAAGTTCAAGGCCCCGCGCATCCTGGCCACTTGAGGCCATCGTGGCCCGCCCCGTTCGCTCCCACGGAAGAGGCATGTCCCCACGTCGCTGCTTGAGCTATCTCGGCGCCCACCGGCTTCCTCCATGCGATCATGCTGCACGGCTCCATCAAGGCCTACCTGTGCTGCAACGTCGTGTTCCTGCAGATCACGAAGAAGTCGAACGTCGTGCTCGTCTTCACCCTCGACGCGCTGCCAGGCCACAGCGCCACCAGCAGTGCGTCTTCGTGATCACTTGGGTCATCAGCGGCTTTTCCCCATGCGCTCACAATGATCTCAACTACGAGTTCCTCGGACCCGTGCTGCAGGGCGAATCCCAGGTGGCCGCCCTTGCGAAAGCCGTCGTCGCCGCGCCCACGGCCATGAGCAGCAACTCCAAGCTGGACCCGTTCAGCTACACCTTCCTCATGGCCCCCATGTGCATCGTGGTCCCAGGTACTGGCATCACCTTCACGTGGTGCAGCGCTGTCACTGCGAGCACGTCAAGCTGTCTCCTTCGGCAATCTCGAGTTCCGTTCCGCGGTGGGCCCGATGCGTTCGCAGCGGGCGAGCATCCCACCGCGGGCTGGCGGGCCCGATGCGTTCGCAGACATCAGAGGCGAGCATCCCGCCAGCGATCATCGAACTTGATTGCGAGTTCCAGGAGCTCACCGAGCTGGGCATTTATTGAAGAGAGCCCCGCCGTGCCAGGACGCTGTCCCTGGTAGACGGTGGGATGAGGTCCTGCAGGGTCGATAAGAAGCCTCGCCGTGCCAGGACGCTGTCCCTGGTAGACGGTGGGAATAGGTGCCACAAGGGCATCGCCTCACTGGGTGTCTCAACATACAGCGTACTTCTGAGATGCCGAGCGCTGTTTTTCGCCTTTTCTGCCATCCTTCAATGTGGCTGGCCAGCAGAATCAGTTGTGCATGATGCAAAGTGTTGCAGTGTCTCTGGTATGTGGTCTGGAGCGGGGCAGAAACCTCGCGGAACGACTGGGGCGGGGCAAAGGCTTCGTTGAATGATGAATTGACCTGTTGGAGCGGAGATGTCCGCGGGATTAGTCTTCCCCGATCTCCTTGTGTTGCTTCAATTCAATGTTTGTGAAGAGTTTGACCAGGCAGGTCGAGAGCCTCACAGGAGGTGAAGTGATTCCCTGCGACATCGTCTGCAACATTTTATGCGTGGCATCAATTCACTCCAGTTGCAAGAATAGCCAATCGGATTCCACTCACTGCTTGCCTAGAAGGCGCGTGGGCCACTTTCGCCCGCCGAAAGGTCGATGGCCCTCGCGTGCTGCCTGGAGTTCCCACCCCTCCACAGGAGGCGACTCTTTCGTGGTGCACGCACCCCGTCTCCCAACCACGCGCTGATCCTCCTCCTCTTCCTCCTCCTCCCACTCTGGCGCATGGACACTTTTGTCGGGGGCGCGCAAGCATGGATTAGCGATCCACGGATCTGGCGTGCGGTCGCCAGATTCATGGATCGGGGGAGGTCCCCTCACCAAAATGCGGCCGGTGCCGCCCCGTTCGGCGGCGGAAAGCTGCGATCTCCCCCATGGAAGCGGGACCTGTCGCTAATACACGCCCCCTTGGTCCATGTTTGCGATCGCCTGATCTTACGTACAACCGACGCGACGGCGGCTGCGGACGACATCGGAAGGCGGCAGACGACAGACGACGCTGGGCCTCTGGCGACCCGAAACAAGACTGGGGGCATTCGTTGTTTTACCGTCGTCCGAGGCCCCGTCCGCAGCCCCGTGACCGAGAGGAATACAAGGTGAAATGCCTACCCGGGGAAAGGGTTGGGACTTCGGGAGGCCCGACACTGAGACATCGCAACGTCGGAGGTCAGGGACTCCATCCTCGATGAGGAAGCAGCATATTCATGCGCGTCCCCCCCCGATCCCCATGAAAAGGCCGCTTTCGGCTTCGGCCCGTTTCGGCTTCGGCCCGTTTCGGCTTCGGCCCGTTTCAGCTCAACCGGCCCGTTTCGTCTTCGCCCCGTTTCGGTTTCGGCCCGTTTCGTCCTGGCCCGAGCCGCAAGTGGTCGAGCCGGAGAGGGCTGAAGCCGAAAAGGGCCGAGGCCGAAACGGGCCGAAGCCGAAACGGGCCGAAAGCCGAACCAGTCCCTTGCCCCCCTCCCGCCCACCCAATTCTCCCAGTCGGGGCCCAGCAGAGGATCCAAGCTCAGGCCTCTCGGGCGCACGGGGGCCCCCGCGCGGACGGGGTCCCTGGGCCTTCGCTCGTCAGGGGCCCGTGGATGGAGGCCTGGGTTCTAACAGCTGCAAGCGCGTGTCGAAGCAGCATCCGTCCCATCGAGGCTCGGAGGCTCGGAGGCTACTCGACAGAGCGTGCTCCCGCAGGACTGTGCAGTGAGCATGCCCACTGCATCGTAGTGGCCCCCGAGCCTTGCAGTGAGGGGCTCTGTCAGGTAGCCTCCGAGCCTCCCTGCATCGCCGATCCTGCAAGGTCCTGGCTCGCCATGTCCTGGCTTCTGGGGCCCCCAGGGCGTTCCTGCAGGGGCCGCGGGGGCCTCGGGAGAGCACGCCTGGGCCCCTGCAGGGAACTGCAGCGGCGGCAGCCGCGGCGGCGTCGGCAACGAGGGGGAAACGAGGGGAGGACGGACGAGGCGAGGGAGGCGGCGGGCGGGAGAGGGACGGGGACAGAGGGGGACGAGGAAGGCGCGGGTTCTGTGGTGGAGGAGGAAGGGGAAGGATGAAGAGGAGGAGGAGGAGGAGGAGGAGGAGGAGGAGGAGGAGGAGGAAAAGGAGGAGGAGGAGGAGGAGGAGGAGGAGAGAGGGGGAGGAGGAGGGGGGGAGGAGGAGAGGAGGAGGAGGAGGAGGAGGAGGAGGAGGAGGAGGAGGAGGAGGAGGAGGAGGAGGAGGAGGAGAGAGGAGGAGGAGGAGGAGGAGGAGGGGGAGGAGGAGGAGGGAGGAGGAGGAGGAGGAGAGGAGGAGGAGAGGAGGGGAGGAGGAGGAGGAGGAGGAGAGGAGGGGGAGGAGGAGGAGGATGAGGAGGGAGGAGGAGGAGGAGGAGGAGGAGGAGGAGGGAGGAGGAGGAAGAGGGGGGGGAGGAGGAGATGAGGCGGAGGAGGAGGAGGAGGAGGAGGAGGAGGAGGAGGAGGAGGAGGAGGAGGAGAGGAGAGGAGGAGGAGGAGGGGGAGGAGGAGGAGGAGGAGGAGGAGGAGGAGGAGGAGGAGGAGGAGGAGGAGGAGGAACTACTCAAGACAACATACGACCTTACACGTGCATCAACGCTACGACTGAACATGAACCGAGGCACACACACATACTAAGCAAAACAAGGGCCATATACTCATATATTGCAACGACTGCACAGCCATCGCCAGCGACTGGACACAATTCATCCAAGAACTCTACATCGACTACCAGCACGGCTCAGGAGCAAACAACGAAGAACATCTCCCAGTTTACGCCGCACTGCAGTACACACGCAACACGACCAAGAACACCAGCAGCCGACCGACACCGCACGACCCAACAAAGATGCAAAACCCACATAGGCAAGCAACATTCGCCGACATGATCGACAACCAACGACTTCGGACATGGGGCACAACAATCAACGACCATCACAAGCAGACAACCGACATGCTCCACGAGGCAGCCAAGAAATGCTTTCCGACCGACGAATTCACACCCCGACAACCCTACATTACGAATGGCGCAGTGAAGCTTGTCAGAGCCAGACGACACGCCACTGCAGCTCTGTGGCCCTGCGAGGCGTCGGTGCTCATGCGGCGGGCTCCAATAACCCTGAACCCCCCAAAAACGTGCCATCTCTTGGGGGACTGACTTTTACTTTCGCCAGCTTCCGCCGGCCTCCGCTGGCAGAGGCGGCCTCGTTGTTCGTTTACTTCCGCCGCCCTTCCTTTTGCACGCGCTGCGCCCTCTTGTCGCTGGACCTTACGTGGTGGGCCCCATGGAAAAACTCAGCCGAAACGGTCGCCTCGCCGCGACCCAACGTCTTGCTAGATCGGGACCCCAGGGGAGCGCAGGCAGGCGGGCGATGCAAACTCGCGGGCACTTCCGCCGACGAGAGCCCCCAAACCCCGCCCACAGCCACCCCCACTTCTGTGAGGGTGACACGACTCGTGTCACACTGAGCAAATCAGAGTAAATGAATCAATACTTACTCATTTACTGCATGATCTTCAGTTTCTGAGCAGATCAATTTTGTAGTCGCTCCACCACTCAAACGAGAGAGGCGAGCTCGGAGCGGCTGTAACGGCGGCCACTGTGCCAGCGGGATCCGACCACCACCTGGCCATCACTCGGACGTCCATTCCCTGTGCTCTTTTCGGTTTCGTGCGTGGCTTTTTCGCCAAATGATCAAGGATGCTCCTCGATGGTCCTCGCCGACGGAAAAATGCACACGTCCGAGCGATGCCAAGCCACTGCGAGTCGGACCCCCTCTCAACGGGGCCCGTCTGCCCTGCTGCCCGCGCTCTGGCGGGCCGGCCGCCGGCAGCCTGCATGCCACCCTGGGGAGGGTGGGCGCCGGCCCGGCGCTCCCGCCTCGCGGGGCAGGACCGGCTCCTCGCCACGCCAGCAGCCAACTCAGCCTGGCCATCGCGCGGACGTCCATTCCCTGTGTTTATGCTCGGCTTCGTGCGTGGCTTTTGTCGCAGGATGCTCCAGGATGCTCCTAAAAATCCCCCCCCCCCCTGGAGGAAAAGTGCACACTTCCGAGGGATACCAAGCAGCACCAGCGTGCCAAGGCCAGGAGCGGTGCGGGACCGCCCGGTGGGGACTTGCGACCCCACGCTCCCCGTGTGGAGGGAGCGCGCTCAGGCAGCCGAGGCGTCGCCGCCCCTCGCGCCGCCCTCCGCAGAGAGCGAGGTGACGCCTCCTTCGATCCTCGTCGGCGAGGCCCCTGCGCAATAAGGCCTCCTGCCCTCCCGGAGGGCGGAGCTTCACCCGTCGACGGCCGCAGGCCCCGCAGCTCGAGGTCTGGCGGCGCAGCGCCCGCAGGCCGCCGCGCACGCGCACGCCAAAGCGGGCACTCCTCGCGCCATGCCGGCGGGTCCCGTGCGCTGTTGATGCTGCGGTCGTTCACGAGGCTGCTGGCTCGCTCGCGGTCTGCCCATGTTTGGATTCCCGAGAAACGAGGCTGCTGGCTCGCTCGCTCGGGGTAACTCGGGTTTGGATTCCCGAAAAACGAACCCGAGTTAGCCCTGACCCGAATTATCCCTGACGATTTGGGGCTCTGGACGCCCGAGTTATCCGGGGTAACTCGGGCCCGGGGCAACTCGGGCTCGGATTCCCGAAAAACGAACCCGAGTTAGCCCTGACCCGAGCTACCCCTGATGATTCGGGTCTCTGACCATGGCCGTGTCTCACGGTCGTCTCGACTGCGGTGGCCGCAGGGCGCTCGGGGGCACCATGCCCCCCTTCGCTGTCAAAACGAAGCGCGGAGCCCCGCACCCAAGCAGTCGGCCCTGGGACTCCCGTGATTGCAGCACGGGGTCATGAGGATGCCCGTCGACCAAGAGGATGACAAGGCGTCAGGGCGACACTGAAAGCGATACTGCACCTGATCCGCTGGTGTTTGGGGACCGTCATGTGCCTCCCTAGCGTTGTGGCATGCGTGCTTGGGGCCACGCTGCGGCGGCGGCGGAGGTGCGGCGGAGGAGGCGGGGAGCCGGCGGCGGATGGTGCGCGTCATCGTGTCCGTGTAAGGGCGCGTTTGGAGCGAGGAGGAGGAGGATGAGGAAGGAGCAGGAGGAAGGAGGGAGGAGAAAGAGGAGCGAGGAGAGCGATATGATGAGAGATCAAACCGACAGGCCTATGTGGGCCCGCCCTCGCGCCCTATACATGGGCCCGCCCTCGTGCCAGCGGGGCAACTTCCCTTGCTCGACTCGCTCAGGCCGGCAGGCGGAGAGAGCAGGAGCAGGACAAGGGAGGCAGGGGTGAGCAGGCGGAGGAGCAGGAGGAGGGGCAGCCACGCGACCACGTCTGTGGAAGCTCCCGCTGCTCGGAGGTGGTTTTCCGCTCTGTGCACCCGGGCCCGCATGTCTTTGTGTCACCACGGTGGAGGCGCCACCTTCCGAGGCCGAGCTGCAGGGAGGCGCAGCGGCAGGCGCCCATGCCCATGGCCTCCTCCTCCGCCTCCGTGTCCTCCTCCTACTTGTTTTAGCCCCTCCTCCCCTGGAAGCGGCCGTGGCGAAACAAAACGCTTTTGATTCGCGGGTCGAGAGCGCACCTCTTCCGGTCGAAGCTAAGCGGGCCGCGCGAAGCTTGAATTAACGAAGAGGGGGAGGAAGGGGGGAGAGCGCAGCCTCAGGGCGAGGCCGGGAGGAGGCAAAGCCTCGGGATCAGGCGGTGCCGAAGTCGACGTGCTTGCAAAGGCGCGCCTTGTGGCGAAACAAAACGCACAACGCCGTGAGACATGAAGGCTGGGGCCCTCAAACCCGTCAGTACTTCACGCCCCAGATGCGCAACGGCCCCGGAGCCCGAACGCTGGAGCACACCGCCCGCTGCGATCGTCTTGCGGCGCTGCCCGGTGGAACTCTCGACTCCTTCCATCCCCGGGCCCACTTGCCCATCGCGGGTCGTGCTTCGACTGTCGAGCGTGCATATACGCACCCACGCTCCCTCCTCCTTGTCCTTCTCCTCTTCCTCCTCCTCCTCCTTCTCCTCCTCCTCCCCCTCCTCCTCCTCCTCCTCCTCCTCCTCCTCCTCCTCCTCCTCCTCCTCCTACGCACACACACACACACACACTAGCACGCACCTTCTTTCGCGTCGCGGCCACGCCCGCAACGATACGCGGCCGAGGCCGTCGGAGAAGCACCCAGCAACCCGCAGAGGCCCAAGGAGCGGCGAGCAGCGCAGGCGGCCCGGCGAGGGGCCCGGGGCTCGCCCACGTGGGGCCGCGCTGTGCGGGCGTCTCTCGGAGGGGCCGCTGGAAGAGGCGACGACCCAGGAAGCCATCCCTGGGGGAGCGACCTCGGGGGAAGGGAACACCGAGGTACCGTCGGGCCGCTGAAAGAAGGAACGCTAAATAAGGAACGAAACCCCTTCTTGGCCCTGTAAGCGCCTCCGTGCCCAAGGAGGGCAAGAGGCGCAGCACTGGAGGAACCTGAGGAGCATCGAGTCCCTTCCGAGCCCAAACTGTTCACTTCTTTCAGCGCCTTGACTGTCGTGGCCCATGGCGCACCTCATGGCCGGTGCAGGACCGCGAGCGCGGAAGGGGGAGCAGCAGCAGCGGCGGCCAGCGGGCCACGAAGGGAGGCAAGGCGCACGGGCTACGCACACGCCTTTTTTTTGGTCTGCGGGTAGAGAGCGGGCCTCTTCCGGTTAAGAGCTAGGCGGGGCGCGCAAAGCACTAATTCGGCTACGCACACGCAGGAATGAGCAACAAAAACGCTGCCGTCATGACTGCGTTCGCGACGCCTCGAGGTCTGGCTTCGGGACTCGAAAATCACCCCCTCGATCATGTCCTGGGATGCACTCTGGCCAGAACTTCAGGCCATGTCCAGCCGCGGCGACGAGGGCGCCTTCAACAAGGGCGAGAAACATCCGACAACCTCAAAACTCTCCAGCAACCACGGCGACGACCTCCAGGGGCCTCCCAAGCATGCCGAGGCCCGCAATATTCGAAAGTCCATGAAGGTCCAGGAGGTACCCGAAAAGTCCCTACCCAGAGCGCTGAATTGAACACCTCCCAGAACTCTGAAAAGCGGCGATCGTGGGAGAGAAACGTTCAGCGGCGCGTTGTGGACGCACACCACGCCGCCATGGCCGTCATGAGAGCTAACGCGGCCGCGGGCAGTTCACTGCAATGAGCGACTTGCGATCAAGTGTCGGGCGAGAACGTCGTTCCTTAATTTTTGAAGCCTCTCTGGACACGGCGTCTCGGGCTAAATCGTAGGAAGTATTGAGCGGGAGCCGCTGTCGTCGCAGCCCGAGCCTCACTAGCTTGACTGGATTTCGAGGAGGTCTCGAGCGAGAGCGGCGTTCCTAAGCTCAGGGCCTCTCTGGCCAAGGCGTCTCGAGGAACACCGTGGAGAAACTTCTCGAGCGGGAGCCGTTGTCGTCGTAGCTGAGGCTTCAGTAACGAAAACTTGGAACCGAACCCGCGCTCGAAAGGCAACCTCGCTTACAAAGAAAACTCAGCCAGCGTAGAGGCGAAAGCGCCCGGAACCGCTTCCAGTGATCAGCAATGCTCCTTTTCTAGAAGTGAGTATTCGACAACGACGACGGCGGCCACCACCTTCACGACGAAGACCACGACGCCGACAACGATGGCGCCGAAGACGACGGCGATGACGGCGACGGCGACGACCGAAGCCGACGATAAACGCCGCAGCCGACGCCGACGAAGATGCCGCCGCCGACGACGCCGCCGACGACGAAGGCCTTCCCCGGGATAGTTTTTCATTACGGACAAGTGCTTGACATCATCTCGGCCCAGAGGCGACCTGCAGGCGCCGAACGCGGCGAAAAGACGTCCACTCTGATCGTTGCAAACGTCGGGGGGGCCTGGGGTCGGCGACGACAGCGACGAGGGACGTCCAATGCGGATGCCGACGCCGACGCCCACGCCGACGCCGCCGCCGCCGGCGACACGGCCAGCGTCCGAGGCAGGGATTGGGGGATGCAATCCAAATCCACCGCCTGGGAACCGACGTCCTGGTGCCCCAGCGGGCGATGGACATGGACATGTTTTGGCCCCTGGGGGGCCCGAGAGTATCCATATCCGCCGCCTGCCGAGGTCCCCGAACACTGATCCTCCAGGCGGTGGTCCTGTACAGTGCGGACACGGCCGCAAGAAGCCCCCGCAGGAAGCCCAGCCCTTCGAGCCCGTGCGCGGAGCGCACCTGAGGGGGAGACCCGGAGCACCCTGAACGCAGCAGCTCCTTCAGCGGCTGCGGGAAGCCACCGCGCAGCGCGAGGAGCGAAGAGACCAGGGCTACCCTGACGAAAAGCAGATGGTTTCTTGATGCGCGCTCCCACTGCACAGATCCCCGCATCGGCACAGCGTCGCTGTCCGCGACAGCGGCGCAGGCAGAGAGCGGCGACAAAGGGCGGGTCCTGCCAGAGCACGCGCTCGAAGCGCCGCCGGTGCAGGCGCGCCAGGTATGCCTTTGCCCGTCCCGCCCGCGCCGCCCCGCGGGCCCTGGGAGGCCAGGAGCAGCAGGATGCGATGCTCGAGCTTCGAGGAGGAGGAGGAGGAGGAGGAGGAGGAGGAGGAGGAGGAGGAGGGGAGGAGGAGGAGGAGGAGGAGGAGGAGGAGGAGGAGGGGGGGAGGAGCAGGAGCAGGAGGAGGAGGAGGAGGAGGAGGAGGAGGAGGAGGAGGAGTGAGGGTCGACGTCCGAAGATGGATATGTTCAAGCATCTTTTGTTCTTTGCTTGTCTTGCATGTGTGGGTGTCTCGTCGGATCATTGGGCCCTGGCGATCTTTTCCATCAAGTGCCAGAAGGCTCACCGTTGCCGCTGCTGGGCTGCCGCCGTGCTGACACGGTTGCCGCAATCCGCTCCTCAGGAGCAGCGTCCTTTGGCGCGCCCCCTGGGCCCACATGCGCTCCCCCCTTGCGCCCTGTGGGCGGCTGGGGTTGCGGCGCCCGCCTCCTCTCGCCCTGCGGCCAGCGCACCCTCCTTTTGCAGGTCTCTGCTTGTCGGCCCTCTCTCTCTCTCTCTCTCGGGACCTGGCAGCACACTGCCAGCTCGCACGCTTCGCCCGGGCGCACCTGCCGCCAAGAGATGCACGCCCGCCGTTCCCGCACTCGCAACTCCACTGTGGCTGGCACGCTCTCCCACGGGCTCTGCGCAATCCGTCCTGCCCGCCGGTCCGTGATGGTCTCCCCCTTCAGTCGCCGGCCTTCTCCAGGCTTTCGCTTTCTTCCCCTTGCCAGGTCAACCAGAGGGGCCAACTGACCCTCAGCGCTGCCCGCCCCCCCCTGATGGGCCTGTTTTCCACCACCACCACCACCATAAGTTGGAGGGGGGGAAGGAGGAGGACGACGAGGAGGAGGACGAAGAGAAGGAGGAGGAGGAGGAGGAGGGCCCCCTCCCACTCCAACATATGGTGGTGGTGGTGGATAACAGGCCCACCACCCCCCGTTGAGCGTGCCCCGAATTTGGCTGCCTGCCCCCTCCCTGCGTCCGGGGGGGGGGGGAGGGGAGGGCAGCCGCTCCGCGGGAAGGCCCGCGGCCGCGCGCCCCGGGGTGCCTCCTCGCAGAGCACGCCCGCCCGCTCGAGGCACTCGCGCAGCGCGGCGTTCTCCTCGCTGAGCTCCTGGTGCCTACCAGAGCGAGCGACGAAGAGACGACGACGACGACGACGACGACGCCAAAAAAAAACGAAGACGACGCCGCCGACGACGACGACGACGATGACGACGTCGGCGGCGGCGGCGGCGGCGACGACGACGACGGCGACGACGACGACGACGACGACGACGACGACGACGACGGCGACGGCGACGACGGCGGCCGCGGCGGCGGCGACGACTACGACACCGAAGCCCAAGGTGGCTCTTGGACGTCTCTGACCAGCTTCGCGCGGAAGCCCCCACAGGCTTCCAGGGGCCTCCGAGCACCTCTAGAGCCCCGGCAGAGATCCCCCAGAGGCCCCAGGGCTATCTCCTCCTCCTCCTCCTCCTCCTCCTCCTCCTCCTCCTCCTCCTCCTCCTGCTCATCCTCCCTTCTCCCCCACCTCCCGTCTTCTCCTCTTTTTCAGCCTCCGTGGCCTGTTGTAGGCGACGAAACGCAGGGAACCGTACGCACGACGACGAGAAGAAAGAGGCCCCCTGGTCCCAATCGCTCCGCGTTTCGTTGTCGTTTCTGGCCCTTTTCTGGGCGTGTCTGAGTGCTTTCGTGGCCGCGGCCAGGCTCAGCTCGGAAAGCTCGCCGGGATGGACCCTGGGAGGGGTCCGGGGACAAACTTTGCTCCGCCTGCTCCTCCCTCCTCCTATTTCTCCTCGTTCTCCTCCTCCTCCTCCTTCTTCCTTCTTCCTCCTCCTCCTCCTCCTCCTCCTCCTCCTCCTCCTCCTCCTCCTCCTCCCCCCTTGTATCTGGACTTAGAGCGCTTGAGCGATGTAGACATGCAGGGGCCTTGGGCCAAGAGGGCACGGCGAGTTTTCGCGCGGTGGCTCACGCAGGTCGCTGGCGCGGCACGCCGCGTTGAGACGAGGGCGCCCACGCGCGACTGTTCGCGGGCAGCTCGCGCACGAACGTCGTCGCAGTCGACCCCGTCTTTTCCGTCAGGCGCGGAGAGAGGAGGGCGGAGGGAGACGGGCAGGAACACGCACGGGAGGAGGGTCGAGGTTGTATAGAGCAACGAACACTTGTGTAAACACAGATCTCTCGTATAAACAGTTGTTGTCCAACACTTCTCTAAACAATTGCTGGACAACAGTTGTTCGTTGCACTTGTGTAGGACAAAAGTTGCAACGAACGATTGTTGTCCACGCGGATTTCTCGGATCTGCTCTTGCCCCCCTCCCCCCCCCCCTGCCTGGCGCGCGCAGCGCGACAGGGGCGGCGCAGAGGGGGCCCAGCGCCGATCCAAGAAATCCGCACGGAACTGCACAACAGCTTGTGTGTGTGCCGTGTCTTGTTATTCGAGGGCAGGAATACTCGGCGGCGAGCCCGTGGGGGAAGCGAGAAGGGGCGGGCCTTCTCAGAAAGCTCGGAAGTCCCCGAGCCTTCTGAATAGTTTTCTCAGCGCTCCCTGAAAACACAAACGATTTCTCAGAAGGCTGAAGGTCTTCTGAGAAGCCCCGCCGCCTTCTGAGATTGCATTCCCTCTCTCACTTCCCCCCCCCTGCTCGCCGCCGAAATACGCATGGAAAGAGGGTCGAGGTTTAGGATTAGGTCGGGCATGTCTTCCTACTGGCGAATTCTGGACGACGAATCAACAATAATTAAACAATAGTCAGAAATAGCCCAAAGAGCACGAACATCGTCACCATACTATTTTTCACTATTCTGGCATACTCCTTCTGTAGAGGGGCATGCCCGACTTGATACTATTCGTCTGTTATGTGCCAGCCACCAACCGCCACGTTTTCTCCGAGCAACATCAGCATGCCCATGTCTCGATGCTGTCCCCGTGAACCCGCGCGCGTGCCGTTCGCATCACGAGCCGACTGGAGGGAGATAGCGCTAGGTCGGGCCTGTCCCCCTACAGTGGGACTTTGGACGAAAATGAAACATACCAAAACAATGCTCAAAAGATGCCCAAAGATACTCAAAACATAGTCCCCAGACTAGTTTTGCTACTACTATTCTTAGACATTCCCCCTGTAGAGGGACAGGCCCGACTTGAGGTAGCGAAGCAGATCCGCCATGCCAATCGAGAGGGGTGAGGGCCGGTGCTGCAGTAGGCAGCGCTGTAGAGCGCTCGGGCCAGGGCATCCATCGCCAGGGCCGAAGCACCCACCGATGGCGACCATCTGTGGGGCCTCCTCCTCCTCCTCCTCCTCCTCCCGATGCATCGGCGACGCACCGGCGCTGCATCGCCGACGTGGGCGATGCATCGGCGCCGTCGACGTGAAGCACATCGGGCCCAACATCGAGCCGCATCGGCGATGCATCGCCGATGCGGCGCTATCCTCCGACCCCATCTACTCCGACCCCATCTAAGACATCACAAGGATTGGGAGCGTTTCCGGGCAGAAGGGCAAATGCGTCGGCGCCTGTGGAAGAAGCATAGCTCGCACGAGGGCCGTGGTGGTGGTGGTGGCAGTGGTCGCAGTTCCACGGGCAAGACGCGTTCGCACAATAATGGTATTCATACGTCGTCGACGCAAACAATGATCAGATGGAGGCGTTTATGACAATCGTAACAACGATTACCGCGATCAACTTGATCTACGACGTCGCAAAGCCGCGCTTGAACGCGATAAGCACCAGCAACTCGGACTACCATCATGACTGCTGCGTCGCAAAGACTCTGTTGGACTTGAGCCCCAGGGTTGCGAAGCGGAGCTGGAGCGCGAATACCGCCAGCACGCCACGTACGCGCTCGAAGGCACTGACAGAAAAGGCATCCATGGGCAGCGTTCGCGGAGACCGTTCGTGAAGTACTTGGCCGCCCGTCCGCCAATCTAGGCAAGCGCGTTCCACTGCTCGCAGAGTAACTGCTCGCAGACGGCCTGGATCTGCCATGGGGGGCGCGCGATACCTTACATCGATGCAGACATGTTCCCTACCTAGGCTCTGCCTAGAAGGTTTCTTACTCTCTTAGCTTAAAGGGGCCGGGCAGTGCAAAGCGCCCCAGGCGGTTCCCCCAGTCCCCTGGGAGCGGTTCCCCCCAGTCCCCTGGGAGCTTTAGCTTTAGCTTTAGCTTAGCTTTAGCTTAGCTTTAGCTTAGCTTTAGCTTAGCTGTAGCTTAGCTTTAGCTTAGCGTTTCGCTTAGCTGTTCGCTTAGCTTAGTTTAGCTTAGCTTTAGCTTAGCTTTAGCTTAGCTAGCTTAGCTTTAGCTTTAGCTTAGCTGCTTAGCTTTAGCTTAGCTTTAGCTCAGCTTTAGCTAGCTTTAGCTTAGTTTTAGCTTAGCTTTAGCTTAGCTTTAGCTTAGCTTTAGCTTAGCTTTAGCTTAGCTGTGGCTTAGCTTTAGCTTAGCTTCAGCTTAGCTTTAGCTTAGCTTTAGCTTAGCGTTACTGTTACTACTAATGCTGCTTTCCTAGGGGTTCCAACTCCTAGGTAGGGTCGCACTGGGATAATTTTTTCCAGCGCACGAGATTCGTTTTGTCTTCGTTTCCCCGAGCAAAATAAAACCACAGACGTGTCTGCTTCTGGACGCTTGCGGGCAGGCGCTCCGCGAGCCGTGGCACGCGCTCGGTGACAACCGCTCAAGGCCGCCTCGGCACCTCCGCTCGCAGCCTCTGCCCTGGCCATCGCTCGGACGTCCATCCTCTGTGCTTTTCTCGGTGTCGTGCGTGTTTTTTTCGCCAAATGATCAGGGATGCTCCTCGATGGTCCCCGCCGAAGGCAAAATGCACACGTCCGAGCGATGCCGAGTGCCCCAGGCTTGATGAAGGACGGGCCGCCCGCCGACGGCAGGACCGGCGCACCGGCACGCTCGTGGGCCTGGGGCCCAGGGCTTCGGCGCCCACGCCGGCCGCGCCGCGGCGAGGCTCCGTGCCAGGAGCCGCACACCCTGGCCGCCCAGGGGTGGAAGTCAAGACCCCCCCCCCAGAAAGGGCCACCCCGACACGCGACGTCGTGCACGGAGCGCGCCCACAGACGGAATCGACCAGGGCAGGGCTAATACAGTAAACGCCCAGGGCCGTTCAGTCAACGCCAACTGTCCGGTCTGGGTGGTTTCCCTCCCTTGACAGGGGGGCGCGGTGCCGAGGGCGCCGCCGATCGAGCGCCTCCGCTCGTCTTCCGAGGGCGGCGGCTGCTGCCGGCATGGCCGAGCCCCCGTCAGCCTCGGTGGCCCAGCGCGGCGCCTTCGAGTGGGGCGCGTCCTCCTCGGAGCCGTGCGTCCGACCCGCGCACATCGTGCAACCATCCTGCCGTGCATATCGCTTCCCGAGCGGCACGGCCAGAACTCGCCCGCCACGGGGCTTGTACTCGAAGATATTTCTCTGCGCGGCCGCTGCCCCTGGAGGTGGGGCGACGCACACATCGTAGTAGCATGCTCGGGCGACGCCGAGAGCGGGTTCCAGTCTGAGCACCGAAGGGCGATAGGTCTGACGCACGACGACGCGGCGGCCATCTGCGGCGGCTCACGCAGGCCACGGACGCAGCAGACCACGTGGAGACGAGGGCGCGCGCTTACGCCCGACCTCACGCGGGCACAGCTACGCGCCGACGTCCGCGCAGCCGGCCCCGCTTCTTGGCGCCTCATCAGCTGCCACGGCTGTCGCCGAGATCGACGATCCAGGACGGCACTTGGCTCCAAGCCCGGTGTGGCCGGCTCGGCGGCCGAGCGTCCCGCTGCCGTCAAAGCATCCGCTCGGCCTCGCCAGAGGCCACCCACAGCGTGTGCGCAGGGGCGCGCAGAGGGAGTGCCAATCGCAGCCAGATCCTTGCCGCGACCCACCCTCAGCGGCAACCACACCATCAGCTGGACCGAGGGACCAGAGGGGAGTTCGAGCACAGTCGTCCGCCGTCCACGCCATGGCTGAGGTCGCGCACGGGGGCAGCACACCAGCCAGTCGCGCCAGGCCCGATGATGGCCCGAGGCTCTGGAGATGGCTGAAACACAAAACAACACATGCTTGGGCTCATGGCACAGATGACGATGACCGTGACGATGGCGACAACGACGAGGACGACGACGATGATGCTGCTGATGATGGTGACGATAATGACCGCGACGACGATGATGACGACGATGATGATGGTGATGATGATGGTGATGATGATGGTGATGATGATGATGCTGATGCTGATGATGACGATGGTGATGATGATGGTGAGGATGATGATGCTGATGCTGCTGATGATGCTGATGATGCTGATGATGGCGGTGATTATGGCGCTGATGCTGATGACGGCGATGATGGTGATGATGCTGATGATGGTGATGCTGATGCTGATGGTGATGGTGATGGTGATGATGATAGTGATGATGGTGATGATGATGGTGATGCTGTGATGGTGATGGTGATGATGATGATGACGACGACGACGACGACGATGATGATGATGATGATGATGATGATGATGATGATGCTGATCATGATGATGATGCTGATGATAACGATGAGATGTACCGTGTGTAAGAAAGGGCGGGAGCAAGAACTTACACCCCTGCCTTCATCCGACTCCACGTCCCCAAACAGGCTTTACACCGCGAGGGAACGGACACGAGGCCAACGCGCAACGCGGGCCCCGAGCGAAGTGTGCCCACCCTCGGGCCCACGCCGAGAGTTCGGGGCCACGCCTCTATTCACGAGCCAGGCGCTGCACGGCCCCCTCTCCTCGGGCCGGCTCGAGACACGGGAGGGGCCCTGCCTCCCGTGGGCGGTGCACACTCGACTGCCTCCTTCCCCCCGACTCTGCACCGCACATTCGCAGTCATGATGATGCTGACGATGACGACATTGCCAGAGGTATGTCGTGTGGAGGTGACGATGGTAATGGCGGTGACGGCTCACAGAGTGAAGATGGCCACCAGAGATCGGACAAGATGTCTTGTGACGCCACCGTTCCGTACACAAGTCGTTGCACTTGCACGTCTCCTGCACGTCGCATTGATGGCGACGTGGCTCATGTCTTCGCGATCTTGCTCTCGAACTGCTCCAATGTGAGTTCTTGCTGGCCTGTCGGTTCTTCGGAGTCCATCTCCCTCTCGTAGCGAACCAATGACGAGGAGAACGCCACTCGTGCAGAAACCAATGCTCCGAGCGAACCCACGCCGAACAGCATCCAGTACGCCGCAAAGACCATGCCCGTGCGCGTCACGGGCGTGAACGCGCCGAAGCCGACGGTGGAGAGCGTGATCGTCGACATGTAGACCGCCTGCCCAAACGTCTTGCCCTCGCCGGGGTACAGGCAGAAGAACACCAGCCCCAGGATCACGAAGCACAGGTACACCGTGCCGCTCTGGACGACGGGCAGGAAGGCGGCCCACAGCCTCTGGCGGTGGCCCGCCGCCGCTGCCGCGTCGTCCAGGGTGCGCGGCGACGACAAAGTGCGCGACAGGCGCGTCTCCACCACGTTCTCGAAGCTGTTCACCAGGTCGCTGAGAATCTGCGTGACCAGAATTGTGGACACGAAGCAGTAGAAGCCGATGACCAGCTGCCCAGAGATCTGTGCCGGCGTGACGTCGCCGTAGCCAACGGTCGTCACGATCTGGGAGATCAGGTACACGGACTCCTCCAGGCGCAGGGTGCGGGGCATCTCGAAGTGCGGCGACTGGAAGAGGATCTCATGTGTGAACAGGTAAAGGCCGCTGAAGAGCCACACGAACAAGCAAAAGCACTCGCAGTAGTGCGCCTTGGTTGGGGGAGGCGCGCCAGGATTCAGGTGTGGGAAAACGGGCGCAAAGGCGATGATGCCCACGAACAAGACCGCCAGTGCGTAGATGGCGTACCCTTCCTTCTCGGGATCGATCGGGCGGTCCCAGCTGACGGAGTGGTTGCTGCCCCCTCTCGGATCTGAGATTCCCCATCCTGACGGGAGTGCGCCTGCCTGCATCACGGGCGCTGGAGGCACCACCTCTCCTGGGATCTGCGGCGCGGGCACTCCTGGCAGCGTCCCTCCCGGCTCTGCCCGGCCGGGGCCCCCGCGGAGCTCGAGCGCCCGAGCGCGCGTGGCGTTGCCCGCGTCCTGCGGGGAGGCGCGCCCGTAGACGGTGCCTCCGCCGGGCACCACCCGCGCGGCCGGCGCGCCGCGGCTCTGGTCGAGCCTGGCCGCGATGCGCGCGGCGATGGCCAGCAGCTGCTCGGCAAAGGGCTGCGAGCTGCTGCCGGCGGCGAGCTGCAGCTGCCGCGCCAGGACGACGAGGTCGCGGACCTCGGCCGCGACGCCCGCGGCCAGCTCGCAGGTGGGGGTCCCGCAGGGGGCGGGGTGCGCCAGCCCAGCGACGTCTCGATCGGGCCATGCGTGAACATGGACGTCGCCGGTGTCGAAAGTTGCTGCGGGCGAGGCGAGGACACCCAGCAAGCATAAGGTGCGGAAGCGGCAGTTGACGCCGACGAAGTCCGCGCCCATGCCGCCCGCGCGAAAGATGCAGCAAATTGTTTGGTAGCGTGTTCGGTACGAGGCTGCTTTCTACATTAAGTGGCTGAGACACTGCATCGCACGTCAGCCAGCGTCTTGACCCCAAATGGCTCCGAATTATGACTTGGCTCAAGACGCACAGTTGATGCGTCGTTGCCTAGAGGATGCATCCTCACCGGTTGAGATGTGGCCGCGCAACTTCAACTACCTGCCCAGGGCAGGTAGTTGAAGTTGCGCGGCCGCATCTCACTGATGAGAGTGCGGCGGCCCTGGCAGTCTCCAGCATCCGACAGCCGTTTCTGACACGCATCTGATGCTGAAGACTGCAGGGGCCGCCGCGCGCTCACTGAGGCTCTACATGTTCGGGAGCTGGACGAAAAGGGTGCTCAGGACCAGCGCGGTTGTGATATACAGCGAATGTCCCCAAGGGACTTTCGTGGCCACGGCGAGCCTCGACCACGAGCAGGGCTCCTCGAAGTGTAGCGGTCCAAAGAGGTTTCCCAAACCGAAGCCCCACGTGATGAAAAACCGGATCCGGGGAGGGCATCGAGAGCTCTGGGGCGCACAGTGCCTCCCGGATCGTGCACTGTCCAGGCCAGGGCGTGAGCACGCACCCCCGCATCCTGGAGCCTCCTGCCTTTTCCGTCCTCCCTGCAGCCCTTCATCGCCCCTGCCTCCTACCTCGCCCATCCTCCCAGTCCCTGCTCGATCCTCCCTCCTCCTCCCCATCCTCTCGCTGGTGCCTCCTGCCTCCTCCGCCATCGTGTCCCCCTCCAAGATGAGCTCCGCCCTCCCCCTCCCCAGCCTCTTCCCCGGCTTTGTTTCCTCCTGCACTCAGATCCCCCTCGCGACCACATATCCCCCTCGCCGGCGTGAAACCGTGCCTGCTGCTCCTCTGCCTACCAGATACCATCCTCCCCCTCTCTCTCTCCTGAGAGTGCCGCCCTGTGCCTCCGCTCATCGTTCCGCCCCGCCTTCTTCTTCTTCTTCCTCCTCCTCCTCCTCCTCCTCCTCCTCCTCCTCCAACTCCTCCTCCTCCTCCTCCTCCTCCTCCCCTCCTCCTCCTCCTCCTCCTCCAACTCCAACTCCAACTCCTGCTCCCCCTCCCTGGTCCTCCTCCTCTTCCTCCACCACCTTCTCCTCATCTCTTCTTCCATCGCATCCGCTGTCCTCTTTCGCCATGCCTGGTCACGCTCCGCAGCATTTCTCTCCTCTCCCCTTCCATCACCTCGCCGTTCTTTCCCATCGTCCAAGCAAGTGTGGCCATCGCGGAGGCGAAGGCAGCGGTCCGAGCTGCGCCTTCCAATGGAGGCGCATAGAATGCCCGCTTGGCAGCCTGTTGGGGGCCATCCCGAAGGTCGTGCCGCCCAAATGGGGCCGAAGTAGATGGGGCAGGAGTATCGCGCTTCATCGCCGGCCCCTGGCCGATGCATCGGCGACGCCAGCGTAAGGAAAGTTGGGCTCCACATCAATGCGGCGCGATGCTCCGACCCCATCGACTTCGACCCCTTCTGGGCGGGCCTGGAGTTAGGACCGTCTAGGGCGCCCTTGGGGACATCTCGGGGGCCTCGCGGAGCCCATTTGGGGGCCTCGATGGACTCCGATCAGCGGACGGATACAGTCATCGGCCTGACCTAAGGAACGATAAGTAAGGAACGAAGCCTGTTTTTATCCCAAGGAATAACGAATAAGGAACGATGCATACCACATAACGCATAAGGAACTGTAAATAATGCATGTAAAACCCAAGGAACGACCGAGCCCCTTTTGAAAAGTAAGTGTTCCTTATTCAAACCGCTCACTGTAACATCAGATCGGGAACGAAGGCCCATTGGGGGGGGTCTGGGTCAGCCTGCAGACGTCCTGGAGCACTCCTCACTCAGGGGGCCCCCAAGAGAGGGGGCGCCCACGAGGGGGGCTCACAAAGCACGTCTTGACATGTGAAGCGGGGGCCACGAGATCTGTGAGACATCATCGCCCCAGCCATGGGAAGATCCCCACCAGAAGTCCGCACAACATTGAAGGGGCCCCAGGACACACAAATAAATACACACAAATAAAAGGATCCCACATGTTTTCTCATATTTTCTGGGTGTCTGTCTTCCCCCCCACTTCCCATATTCCCAAATTTCTCCGGAGTCGACGAGTAATTCTGTCTGTGTGTGTTTTTTTCCCTCCTGAAACATGGGACGCAGAAGGACATGCTAGTATTAGGTCGGGCGTTCTCCCCTACAGGTGGATCTGGGAGGAAAACTAAAACATACTCGAAACATGTGCAAACAATAATCAAGAATTGCTCGAACAATCGTCCCCCGACTATCTTTGACTATGTTTGGATATTCCTCCTGCAGAGGGACGTGCCCAACTTAATACTAGTACGTTGTGTTGGAGTTGGAGGCGCACGCCCGACACGACCATGCTGTGCGTGCACAAATCTTGTAGCACACGACTCCCGAGCAGTATGTGAGGGAAGAACCCGCCACGGAGCTCATACTACAGCCAGCCCGCACAAGAAGGATGGGCACATGCCCCACGGCTACCCTTTGCATCCTCCTCCTCCTCCTCCTCCTCCTCCTCCTCCTCCTCCTCCTCCTCCTCCTCCTCCTCCTCCTCCTCCTCCTCCTCCTCCCCCCCCCCTCCTCCCTCCTTGGCCGCTTTCGGTGGCCGCGCCCCGCGGGAAAAGCCTCGAAGGGAGGGCCCCGGGGCCCCGGCACCCTTCTCGCGCATCCTTCCGATACGGGCCGGCTGTATAAGCTGTGTGTTGTACCTTGGCGTGCGCGTCGCCCTCGCGGGGCCGACGTGCCCCCACCACCGGTATGCTCCGGCGGCGCCGACGACGAGTCAGCCTCACGCCTCCTCCTCCTCCTCCCCTCCTCCTCCTCCTCCTCCTCCTCCTCCTCCTCCTCCTCCTCCCTCCTCCTCCTCCTCCTCCTCCCCCTCCCCCCCCCTCCCCCCCCTCCCCCTCCTCCCTCCCTCCCTCCTCCTCCTCCTCCTCCTCTCCTCCTCCTCCTCCTCTCCATCCTCCTCCCCTCCTCCTCCTCCTCCTCCTCCTCCTCCTCCTCCTCCTCCTCCTCCTCCTCCTCCCCCTCCTCACCTGGCAGGCCAGGGGACCTCGGCCGGAGTGCGTCACGAGGCCATCGCACAGCACACCCGACGGCAGCGAGCTGAGTCAGCAGCTGGGTCCGAGACGTGGCGAGGCGGCGCAGGCGGTGCGCACAGCAGGCCTCGGAAATGAAACAGCGGACACGCATGCCACATTCATCGGTGGACGCCTCCCCCTCCCCCCAGTGTTCCAAAGTGGCGGTGAGTCTGATGGGTTGCACTCCGACCGCAGTCTCCCCCGCGCGTGCCAACTTTGAGTCTGGGGGAGCGGGGGATGTCCACGAACGAATTGGTTCCCCCGACCGAAGTGCAATACAAAGTCACGGTGGAGTGCCCGTCCAATCGCGAGGGCTTCACGCGCGCTGTGCGCGAAGGCCATGCACCTTCGCACGCGCCCTGCACGCCCGTGGGGGGGAGATGGGGAGGACATGCTAGGTGCACTCGCGCCGTATCTGACATCCTACCCCTCCCACCCTTTCCTTCCCAGTTCGCTGATGTCTCCTTTATCCGCGGACGCGTGCCATAGCGGACCTGGATCTCCCCATAAGGCCCAATCGTGTTATGCGAAGGCGGAAACGGAGAACGCTGGGGCGAGAGCACCATCCTGAACGACGGCAGCAAAGGGCCGATCCTAAAATGAGGCCAACGCTGTAGCGGCAGCACCATTCTTGAGACACCAAAAACGTTCCGATCGAAACCAAGCTATGGGAAAGAGCAACTTCTGAGATCCTAGATGTGGAAACAATACGCAGAGGGGCCAGGCTACTCATTGGTCATCTCAGGGGGAGAGAGGAGAATAGTGCTCATATTCAGTAAGCATGGGGAATAGAAGAGGCGGAGGAGGAGGAGGAGGGAGAAGATAAGTAGGAGAAGACACCCACAACCCTTCGCATCGTGAAACGTCGCGACGGAAGTTTTTCGCCGTTTCCGGCTGCTGGGGGCCCTTACCACGCCATGGTGCCATGAAATATCGACTCGGGATGGCCCCAGGGAAGGAGTCCAAACCCCCGCGGGCCCACGCAGTGGATTTTCGCCAGCCCGTCGCTGTGCGTGAAACGTTTTCCGTTTGGGTCCTTGTCGTCTTCGTCGTCGTCGGCGTCGTCGCCGCTCCCCCCTTTTCCTTGGGCCCTCCTCCCCAAACGAAAATCATCAAAGGGAAGCCCCTTCCCCTTGATCCCTTCCTTGTTAGAGAGGAGGGGGGTCCAGGGGGGGGGGTCTCGGGGAAGTCCCGCAGGAGTGGGAAAGAGGAACAGAGGGGGTGTTCTACCTGTGGACAAGGGAGCTCTGCACCGCTCCCCCTGGCTCACCCCTGTGGAAAAAAGTGGCCGCCACCAACGCCACCGCCCTCTCTCCCCCCACTCCCCACCTGGAGGGACCCTCCTCACTCTTATCTTATATGGCGGGGTCTTGCGTCTTTTCCACATGCCTCCACGAAGCCTCAGATCCGCTCCGAGGCGGCTCCAAGACAAGTAAACACGGAACTTCTCAAGAAGTCGCCCAAGAGGCCCCCCAACCGGGCCCAAAAGGCTCCCAAGAGAGCGCCAAGCAAGACTCCAGAGCGTCAGCGTCGTCGTCGTCGCCGCCGCCATCGTCGTCGTTGCCGACGTCCCCCATTAAGGGCTGGCGGCACCGGCCGTATTCCCAAGATCTTAGAATCGCGTATGAAAACAAGCGCGGTGCATTGCAAAACACACCCAAACACAGTTGAACGAAGTTCCTGCCCTTTGTACCCCAAAACGCGGAGACCACGACAAGGACGCCAGCAGCAGCACGGGACCAGAGGGGCCAGGAAGAGGAGGAGGAGGAAGAGGAGGAGGAGGAGGAAGAGGAGGAGGAGGAGGAGGAATTACACCGAGAGCAGGAGCGTCAGATGCAGCGGCAGCCCTCACCCGCGGGCGGCGGCAAACTATTAATACCTGAGCACGCCACCCCTGCAGCCAAAGCGCGTACTGAGGACGGTTGGTTAGGACGCGAAGCCCTTTGAGGTCCAAGTTGGATTGTTTCGGGCGGCGGACGACCATTGAGAACGGCAAAGGACGAGCCGCAGAGGCATGGACACAAGGGCACCCT